ATTCTTGAGTAGATGACTCACTCATGTCATCTATTGTGTCATTTTCATTTTCATCATCTTCACTAACTATCATTATCGTTTTCGTTTCGTAGTCCTTATTTGTTATCGTAAATTTGGACGTAATTAATACATCTATCTCATCGGAAATTGCATCTTCTAAGCTATTAAATTTCAAATAATTTGCAAAGGCGTTTATAAATGTGGATTTGCCTACTCCAGTTTCACCGAGCAATAGTATATTTATTTCTTTTCGAGAAGCTATTGAAGTCGCCATATATAGATGCCAAAATGTGTAAAATCATGCAAATTAAATGATTTAAAAACGTTAAGTCGCCTTCTCTAATGTATAAGATATTATAGTTATTGTAAAATTGATATTATGCTGACAAAAAAAAATTTTAAACCACTTTTATATCATTAAAATTTCTAATTAAAAATCGACAGCAATGTTATGGCAATTTTGGTTTGCTCAGCACTTAGTTATATTATAACAGTACGTACATTATAATACTATTAAAATAGCAATGTTACTAAGTTAATTGCAGGTTATCATAACGATAATAATAAAGTTTGTCTAAAAATTAAGTTACATGGCATTATCAAGTTGCACTAAATTTAAAAACCTCTTTATAAATACACCAAAATTATCTTAAATATTACTATTCATGCATGCATTACTGATAACCTTGATTTTGTGTTGCAACGTGAATATTTATTTACAGATTAGGACTATCCGTTGCTAAGTACCAACTTAACTAATCATAAATTATGGAAAATAGTATAATGCATTGCTGGTAAATATAACACAAACGGTAATTCGTTTCAATGGTTGTACATAAACAGTTGCAATTGTTCAAGCCTAAAATCAAAAATACGAATCTACAGCCAAAGTTTCCTCGCAATTCTAAGTATCTTTTTCCGGGTAGATATTTATTATTCGTAACATGAATTTTTGATTAAGCAAAACAGAGAGAAGCTTTACAAAAATATTGTTGAAAGTCTAAAACTAATCAATTTTTGCTTACGCATTTATTTTAATGGTCTTATTCAAAACTGGCTTTATGTGTTAAGTTCTATTTCATCGAAAGAGTGAATTAAAAATCTTGCAAATGTTTTTTTAAATTTAATTATTGAATTAAGTACAATTATCAATAATTGGTAATGTTTATTACACTGTCTGCTATATTTAATTACTAAAATGGAAGCATGCTATTTTGTTTGCGATTATTAAATGCCGTGCTCCAAGACAGTGATATGTAATAGTTATATCCTGGGCAGTTGGGTATAAGTGGGATTTTGCAGTAAGTATAATCGGCCGCGTAAGCGGCCG